GTAGGGAAACTGAACTGTCATAGACTACTTTGTAGGTTGTGTAAATTAGTAGAAGTATTTTGGAGGCAAATTTGGCAATACCTATTAAAATTAAAAATGTTCATAACTTAAAACCAAGCAATTCCACTTTTAGGTATATATTCTTGAGAAACAGCACATGTGCACAGCAAAACAAATACAAGGATATCCCTGCAGCACTGTTTGAAAGGTGAAAAACTGAACAACCTAATGTCCATCAAGAGGAGAATGGTAAATAAAATGCGCTACATAGTACATATCGAGCAAAATATAGTTTAACATGAAAATCGATAAATGAGACAAAGATAAATATTTTACATTAATAGAACAATTCAGTCATACATTGGAACCCTATCAAGCAGGTGAAAGAAACGAGCTGTAAATAACATAACAAGCTACAAAATAACAACACATTTACACTGTAAAACACTGTCAAGTGAATAAAATTACAAAATTATATAGTATACCACTTCGATTTTTAAGAATTACAAATGCATATATGCACCTACAGAGAATATGTAAGTGTAAAAAAGGACTTGAAGGCTCTGCATCAAAGTCTTGAGTGTGGAACGGGGGGAGAAGGGGGTAGGTAATGGATTGTGGATTGTGCTCTTTATCTGTAAGGTTCTAATTTCATAAAAGGAGAATGTAAAAATGCACTAATTTAAAAATTAAGTATATAACTTTCAAAAAGGGACTGTCCATTTTAAAGCCTTCTGGAGCATATTGCCAAATTGCCTTCCACAAATGTTCTACCCATTTACACTTCCACCTGTAGCATATAAGCACACTCAGTAATGGCTTCGTTCTAAAGAAAGCTCTCACCGGTGTTGTTCATACCTTCTGAAAATTTAAAAGTAACTGAACTTACAAAATTAAAACATGTTTACTGAAGAAAATTTGCAAAATATAGTAAAGCATAGGGAAGAAAATTTAAATCACTCATAATCTCATCGTCCAGAGATAACCAGTGTTATTTGAGAGTGTAACAGGATTTTAAAATTTGCTCATATTTTTTCCCCTTCTTTTTCATTTTGGCAGAAAAATAGTCTGTTTCGCTTCAATTTATGGTTCCTTTTCGTTTTTACAAATAGGCTCTTAGGAAACTGTGACCATTTCCTCTGTTATGTTTTAATTGTGATGACAGTAATGAACATTTATTGCGTATAAACCATGTGACAGGCAGGTTTCTAAAAACTTCACGTGTTCGTATTAATGTGCCTAACAATCATGTGGGATAAATTAGCATGCCCGTTTTTCTCACAAGGAAGCTAAAGCCGCCACACTGTAAGTGGCAGAGAACAACTAAGGAACCAAGCAGCCTGGTTTTTGAGCCCGTTTTTTGATTATTCCAATCTACCGCCTCATTAATATATGCAGAGTTCACTGCAGGTTTCCACCTGCCGAAGAGCACAATTACATACTACTGTTCCTTATTTAACTACCTGTTGGGGATAATTTCTTATTGGATTGTGGTTAACGAGAGTCAGGAGCTCTTAGGATCTGACCTCAACTCCGTGATCTTGGGTAAATGATTATACTTATTCAGGGTTTGTGTGGTCTTACCTGTGAAATGGGTCAGTGGTTAAACCATCAAATTCTGCTTCTGGATTTTGGACTGCAGTCCACTCCCCGCAGCCCCTTTTACAGCCTCAGGTTCCCCAGCTGCTTAGGAATCACCTCACATGAAGATGTGCACCGGGTGACAAGAGACTGGAATGCGGGCTGAGAACTCAGTGGGCCCGCAGTCCCTTCTCCAGCCCGGGACTACACGTGGGTGAAAGAAGGGAGGTGACAAGGGCTGGGATCCACGCGGCCGAGAACTCCGCCGCGTTCCCGGGTGCTGGGCCGAAAGAGCCGTCGGGAGGGCCAACCACGACCGTGCCTCGGTTACACCGGCTCGACTGCGGTTTCCACGCCGCCCGCCAGACTGGAGGGCTGCGCTCCTCCCGCTCCGTTGGCGAGGCTGGGTTCCCCCGCGGGTCGGACTCCTCTCCCACTGCACGCCACCGAGACCCCACGGCCCCAGGTGCCCTGTGGCCGGGAAGTACTTTACCATTTACTAGACATCACCTCGGCAAAAACAGTCCCGCCTCGCTTCAGCCGGGACGGAGGACCGCCCAAACCCTAAAGGCCAGGCCTAACACGAACCCGAAATGGGAGGAGTCGGACACTGAAGGTTCCCACCACCTGGCCCGGAGCCCATTGGCTGCACACCCACTGGGTCCACGCCTCAGAACTTCCGCGCCCGTACCGTCGGCAACGCGGCAGCGCCGGAGCGCGCCGTCTCCCGATTGGCTGTCAGAACTCTCGGGTTGTCTCGCGCTCTCTGGCTGGACCAATGGGGATATCCGCAGTCGAGAGGACGGCATCGCTGGAGTGGTGGCTCAGCTGTTTCCTCTGGTAGGTGGTTGGAGCCATCTTGGGTGTGTCTGGGACGGGGATGCTTGGCGGTTGAAAGCGTACTTAGCAGCTCAAGATGTAGAGGTGTTCTGAGGGAGCAGTGGAGGAGAGGAAGGGCCTGAGGAAACAGACCTGGCGCCTTCTTACTTCCCTGAAAGGGAAAGGTTTTCCTGGTCTGAGTCTCAGCCCTGGCTAGGACGAGGGATCAATGGTGGCGGTGATGGGGATCGCAGGCTTTGGTTGGTTGGTTATTGTCGGGGCTTGTCGAGGACTCTGATGCCGTTCTTAACAGTGATCCCTTGGGTTCCAGGGAACTATTCCAATAATCTTTGTCTCGAAAAGATTCTGACCATCAACCCTCTTTACAGACAAAGGAGGTTGGCTGATGGACTGCCTGATTCAGAAAGGAACAAGGCTGGTAATGGAAGGGGACAGGGGGAGGTACCTCACGACTGTCCTCAGATTCGAAAGAGACGTCTTCATTTTCTGTCGTTTGCGAGGGAGTGACTGCTAAAGTGTTTGCCCTACTCGGTAGTTAACCTCTGACTAAGGCCCTCCTTTGGTAGTAGTGAGCGTCAGGTTCTGCGTTAGGGCAGTTTTATTCAGTGTACAGCCAGCATTCCT